ACACTACCACACACACCCACCGCAATCATGGGTCTCACATTTTCGAAGCTGTTCGATAAGCTATGGGGAAAGAAGGAGATGCGCATTCTCATGGTCGGTCTTGACGCTGCCGGAAAGACCACCATTCTCTACAAGCTCAAGCTCGGTGAAATCGTCACCACCATCCCCACCATCGGTACGTCGCGATGTGCAGCATGAGCTCAATCAGGACAATGCGCTGATTCTTCGACCTACAGGTTTCAACGTCGAGACCGTCGAGTACAAGAACATTCAGTTCACCGTGTGGGATGTCGGCGGTCAGGACAAGATCCGTCCTCTGTGGAGGCATTACTTCCAGAACACCCAGGGTATCATCTTCGTCGTTGACAGCAACGATCGCGACCGTGTTGTTGAGGCGCGTGAGGAGCTCCAGCGCATGTTGAACGAGGACGAGCTGCGGGACGCTCTCCTCCTTGTCTTTGCCAACAAGCAGGATTTGCCTGTAGGTTTCAACAGCCGTGAACACAAATGTCCAAACGACTAACAATGCGTCAGAACGCCATGAACGCCGCTGAGATCACCGACAAGCTTGGTCTTCACAGCCTCCGACAACGTGCCTGGGTATGTTCCGGGTCCCCCCTGCTTCAAACGCCCGTCAGCTAACCCCCTGCAGTACATCCAGTCGACTTGCGCTACCTCCGGTGACGGTCTCTACGAGGGTCTCGAGTGGTTGAGCAACTCTCTCCGCAAGGCCGGTCACAACTAAGTTTGGCGAGCGCGAACCGTCACATAGCGAGTCACGAAAATGCCAACCGTCTGCTAGCACAGACCTCTTATAACGAACGCACGCCCCATCGTTGTGGCAGAGCCCAGCCATGACGCATCTCTACAAAACCACGGACCCATGAAATGTATTTGCATCGGTGTCAAATGTCAGATCGGATGGTGGAGCGGAGACACATGGTTTCTCTTCTCTTTTCGCCATTGGAGTTTGTGTGAAGTACTATGACATTTCGTTTCTGGGATCGTTGGGAAATCAGTTCTCTGGTTACTTTACGTGGTACTATCAAATTCGAGTCTCTTCTTACTAGCTGCTGTTTTGACTGCATGTGTGTGGTGACCCGGGAAGTTGTTCAGAACTGTTCATTGCTCTATTCACATGTAGGGCTACATTGCGCAAATCGTAATACATGCCAGAACGCCAATCATCCCCCCAGACCCCTCACGCTACCCATGCAAGGCGATAAATGTTGATAGCTTGCTGATGTGGTGTTCCATGTCAAATGGCGCCCATTTCGTTACTTAAGTGGAATACTCTTGTCGCTCAAGACGCGGGTGCAGCCTGCTGCCCACCTGCCTCCTTGGCTGCCGTGATTGGCGGAAGCAGTCCCTTCTCAGCCCAGAGGTCGACCAGCGGCTGCATGGGCTCGATTTCCTTGTCGCCGATCAAGTTGAACAGCTTGCCGACGTTGATGAAATGGATGAAGCACGTGTTGAGCTCCTTGTACGCACTCACGTTCCAGAACGGGTCCAGCCAGTGGCCATGGTAGATGTGTGCATAGCATCGCATCATCTGGCGGTAGATACTCTTGATGTCGCCCTCGAACGTCTCAGGGAAGCCAGACGACTTGCCGAGCCACTCGCGCCCGGCGAGTTGGGACATTGAGGCATTGGAACTGGTTGGGCCGAGAGGCTGTGGCGTCGAGGTTGGTGTCATGGAACCGGAAGCGTAGGTTGATGCTCCGATAGAGATGGCCGTGGTGTCTGTGGGGAAGATGTTGGGGTCATTGATCTTGCCCACGATCCACTTTTGTACGAGGTTGATGTACTGGATTGCGGGGATCTTGATGGGCTTCTTGTTGTTGTCCAGCCAGGTGTATGTGTGACCGCTGGCAGACATGGTAGGGCAGGTATCTGGGTTGCAGACAGGCTTGCCTGTCCGGTCGTCCGTTACCTTGATGATTTCAATCATTTGCTCGAGTAGCCTGTACTGCTCGACAACTGGTCACATGCTTAGCGATATCGGGGCATTGAAAAGTGTAAACCTACCTTGATGTGCGAGCCATTCGCCCTCTTCGACTAGCTTCGGCTTCGCAGCCAAAGTCATAAAGTTACCCTTGACGATCAAGTTGGAGTACTCTTCGCGGAAGAAGAAAGGCGGTCTGCGGGAGCCAGACGGCACGGACCCATCCGACGGAGCACCTTGGCTTTCGAACGACATGGCAGAGGATAGAGCGGGAGAATGGGGCATAGGCGGTTGGCCTGGAGGTTGTTGGTTTGTTGGTGAAGCCGAGTATGGAGTGGTTGGCGACGCGGAGCCACCTTTGCCCTGCTGCTGTTGGCCCTTGTTGGATCGACCAGCCAATCCTTGGCGACTATCGGTGAAGTTGTTAGAATGAGGAAAAGACAACTTCAGGCTCCGACGGACGCAAGTTATAACACAATAAGACGGCAGGGAGATGCCGAAAAGTGGTGCATATCAGAAAGTGAAATCGTGAGACGACATGCAGCAAGTGCCTGAATGTTTCAGGCCGTGGACTGGGGGTGGGAGGCGCGAGCATTTGAGGAAGGGGAGCATGTGCCAAGCAACTTACACGTTTGCGAAAAAAGAGGCCATGATTTGCGGATTCGTGGAATTTAGTGTGGGGGGTACGGGGCGGATACGTCCAATGCACCTAGAGAGGCCGGCTTATGAAGGTATGCAAGAGGATTGAGGGGGAGGATGTTGGTGATACGTCTCGAGCGGGCACGCTTTTTGGGCCCACTCTCCTAAGGGCTGCATCGAGAAGGGGCGGCACGCTAGGCTAGATTGGGATAGCGCGATTCTCATGGGTTACTGGTCGCAACTTTGTTCATCGCGGCCATCAATCGGTGCGCGTACCTTTACCGCATCTATCTCGTCAATTTACTCGCAACTTTAGGTCTACGGTCGCGTCGCTATATGAAATAGTCTGGATACGTACCAACAGGAACCACCAGCGAAGCCACCAACCGCGACCATGTCCGACGCGGGCCAGCTCTCCGACGAAGAAGTCAACGGCCAGGCAACTCCTGCTGGCAATGCCGACGATGGCACGCCGCTAAACACTGTGGAGGACAATGGTCTTGAGCATGATGAAGATGACTTGTTTGGCGACGGAGACGGAGATGCAGGTGAAGATGCGCCAACGTAGGTCACGAAGAACCCAGCACCAGTATCAGACTGACGTGTTTAGTGAGCACCGAAAGCTTGATGATGCAGAGCTCGATTCTGGCGACGATGAGGGACGGGCAGATCGCGTCAGGGCACCAGAAGCTGTGGAAGAGGTCGAGCAGCAGACGTTTGCATACATGGACGCTGACCTGGCGCGACATCCCGTTCCCGAGCCCACCGACAACGAGCTTTACCTACTGAAGGTCCCGCGCTTCTTATCCTTCGAAGACAAAGCATTCGATCACAAGACCTTCCAGCCGCCGAGTACAGACCACCACTCCAAGCTCGCCGCGTCTGAGCACTTCTCAGCCTACAACACCGCCATGACCACAGTCAGATGGCGACGCTCACCCTCGAACAACGCCGTCCTGCAGTCCAATGCTCGTATTCTTAGGTGGTCAGACGGCTCCCTAACCCTCCAGCTCGCGACCGACCCTACAACCCAGTACGACATCGATGCGAACACCCTGGCCCCACCGCAAGTCAACCCCAAGATTCCCACACCAACGGCTGTCAGAGATGAGAAGAATGGCAAGACAAGCGCGAAGAAGGAGAGCTACACATACCTGGTTGCGCCGTACGAGGAAGCGAACGTTATGCGCGTCACGAACAAGCTCACGGCATCCCTCAACGTTGTACCCACATCGAACACGAAAGACGCCGCACTGGAAAAGCTGCAAAACGACCTTGCCAAGGTCGCAGCGAAGGGCCGAGACGATGCCGACCAAGCCATATCCTTCATTAACGTGGATGAAGACCCCGAGCTCCGCCGACAACGCGAAGAGGCCACATTCAAGGAGAAGCAGAGGCAATTGCGCGCCCGCGAGAAGCACGAAGCGCGCCAGGCAGAGCGTGCAAACCGCACCATGGGCCGCACCGGCGGTCGCGCATCAGGAGGTCTCGACATTGACGGATTGGAAGATCGCCCAGCTCGGAAGAAGAACGCGCAGAAGGGCGGCTTACGGCGTGACTGGAGTGACGACGAGGACTACGGTGGCCCCAGGAGGAATCGCGAAGACGACTACGACGAAGAGGATGACTTCATCGCCGCTAGTGACGAGGAGCCGGAGATCGTGGACGACGACGATGATCCAGATGAGGGTATTGCGGCGAGTCCCAAGCGAGCACGTGGTGGTGTTGCTGCCGACGATGACGACGACGATGAGGTGGTTGTTAGCCGGACGAAGCGGAGACGTGTGGTTGACGATGATGAGGACGAAGAGTAGACTTCTGGAGATACGTTGCCTCTGAAGACAGTGCTATCGCAGCGCTCGGCGTCTAAAGTGACAGCTTGGATCCAAGAAATGCGAGGGGAGTAGGATGAGGTGGACTACCGTCACAGCAAGGTCCCGAGATGTAGGTGCAGAACTATTGGAGATTGGTTCATTTTCATCTACGATCATCAGCATAGCCAGGAGTTTGGGGTCCTCCATGCATCACTTGTATTATTTACATTATTGACAAAACACAAGGAATGGTATCATTCGGCATTGAACTCTTCTAGCAAGCTACACTCACAGCGTGCAATGCAGCTGATCTTTTCGTAGTTCTACTTTTACTGGCCTTGGACAAGGTATCCCTACTCTGGTATACTAAGATATTGCAAGGCTGTAAGTTTTGTCCGCTACCACACACTTCCTTGAATATCCGTTTATATCAGATAGGTGCTTGCCTAATACATACTAGTGTACTGCATACTCGATTCGTGTGCATGTATACTCATACCTACGTCTTCAAGTTGAGTCACCTCACCTTGGGGATAAGTGTAGCATTCAAATCAGCAGTATTGCAACCCATCTCAGAATACGTCTTCCTACACTTGCTCAACATGTCTACACAACAGCCTCTCCGCCTGGGATGGATAGGCCTAGGATCAATGGGCCTAGCCATGGCGACCAACATCCAGAAACATCTCTCACAGCACAATCTACCACCACTGAAGTACTGGAACCGAACTCTCTCACGAGGTGACAGCCTGAAAGACATCGGAGGCACACCCTGTTCATCGATCACAGAACTAGTTCGAAACTGCGATGTGATATTCATTTCCGTAGGTCTTTCTTCATCAAACACCCAGTATGAAGATATCCGACTGATAACTCAAAGGTAAGCGACGACACAGCCCTCCAAACCATAACTTCCACCATCCTCTCCAGCGGCCCCATTACAGCCAAAACCATAATCGACACAACAACCGTCCACCCCACCACCACATCAACCATAACAGCGCAGTTCACCTCTACAGGCGCACACTACATCGCCGCCCCCGTCTTCGGCGCCACACCCCTCGCCCAAGCCGGTCGTTTGCTGATGGCTATCGCGGGGCCTACATCTGCCATCACCCCCATCCTGCCCTTCCTAGAAAACGTAATCGCGCGCGCGGTCATTAGAGTGGGCGAAGAACCATCCCAAGCACTTCTGCTGAAAACAACAAGCAACTTCATAACCGCCGGTCTCATGCTGCTCCTTAGTGAAGCCCACGTGTTGGCTTCTAAAACCGGTCTTCCCTCATCCGTCCTCGAATCGCTTATTGAAGAGAACTTCGGTGCGTACGCACACGGCGTGTCGAAACGGTTGACGAGTGGGAGTTACTTTCCGCCGGAGGGCCAGGCGCCTTCTTCGGGGTTGGAGCTGGGGATTAAGGATGTGGGTCATGGGGTTAGTCTTGCAAGGGAGAACGGGATGAAGCTGGGGATTGGAGAGATGTATCTGGAGGCTGCGGAGGAGGCGAGGGCGTATGGGGAGGAGAGGGGGAGGAGGTGTGATAGTAGTGCTGTTTTTGGAGTGGTCAGAAAGAGGGCTGGATTGGAGTTTGAGACTGAAGTGGTTAGGGAGAGGGATGCTGATGGAGGAGAGAAGATGAAGTGATACAATGACTGATCATTGCTGGACTACGATCAGTTGGAATGTAACTCATATGTGATGCAGCGTCAGAAGGCTGGCAAGGCGTACGCAAGGTCGTCATTGCAGAAGTAGAGGCAGAACGACAAGCTGCGGAAAAGAGGGAGGAGGGTTTACTTCAAACTTGGATATCCGTGATTGAGTGAAATCCAGAGCAATACACAACATAATTGAGATCTATTTTGAGGCGAACTACCATTCCTGGTCTATACAGAGATGTGTAAACAAAGCTTGTCTATACCTAGCTCATCTACCATCTACTGCGCACCTCCTTCCGCAGCTTGTCGTTCTGCCTCTACTTCTGCAATGACGACCTTGCGTACGCCTTGCCAGCCTTCTGACCTCTTGACATGGCTGACTCGTCGCGGCTTATCCTCGAGACCCTTGAACTCAACTGGCAGTACCTTCTCTTGGAAGTACTCCTTCTGCTCTGGCAGCGCGAGTTCGACCGCATTCGCGAACTTGGCTGGGTGTGCTGTTGCGAGCGCAATGTGGTGTGTGGATGGAGGCTTGGACACCTCTGCTGAGCGGAGTGCTGCTGCGATACCGATGGCGGAGTGTGGGTCGAGGACGTAGCTCTTTGATGACTCTGCGTTGAAGACATATTTGATCATCTCGAGGGTCTCCTCGTCGCTGACGCGATATGAGGCGAAATCGGACTGTGCTGCTTCGAGGATCTGCTTGTCGACCGCGAAGCCGCCGTTCGTCTTCAGGTCGTTGAGCCAATTCCGTACGTGGTCGCCAGCTTGGCTCCTTCGTTGCGATACGGCGTCTGAGTTTGAGCTGTACACGTCGTATGACAGGAACCAGAGCAATCGCTCGAAGTTGGACGAGACGAGGATGTCCATGGCTGGGCTCAGCGTCTCCTTAACTCCGCTCTCGTGCGCCTTGGCACCATCCTCGGGGATACCGCCCTCAGCCTGCTTTCCATGTACGGGGTTCTTCTCGTACTTTCCAGTCTCCCAGAAGCGGTGTAGAATGTCGTTTGCGTTTGTGGCGATGACCAGCTTCTCGGCTGGTAGGCCCATGCGCTTCGCGAAGAAGCCAGCGAGGATGTCGCCAAAGTTGCCCGTGGGCACGACGAAGCGGACGGTGGAGGCGGGGAGGAAGGACTCCTGCTTGATGAGGTCGAAGTACGAGTAGAAGAAGTAGGTGATCTGCGCGAGGATACGGGCCCAGTTGATCGAGTTGACGGCAGCGAGGCGGTGCGTCTTGTTGATCTCGGGGTCTGCGAAGAGGGCTTTGACGAAGTCCTGGACGTGTTAGTTGTGTCTGCCACTACTGCTGTTACTGAATGTGCATACCTGGCAGTCGTCGAATGTGCCGTCTACAGCCAAGTTGTGCACGTTGGCGTCCATGACGGTCGTCATCTGCGCTTCCTGGATCGGGCTGACCTTGCCATGCGGGTGCATGATGAAGACCGACACATCCTTCTTTCCGCGCAGACCGTAGATGGCTGCTGAGCCGGTATCACCACTTGTCGCGCCAATGACGGTCAGGTGCTCTCTGTCGCGTCCGGTCTTGCCCTGGTTCTTGCGCACGAGGAAGTACTCGAAGAGGTTGCCGAGGAATTGCAACGCGACATCCTTGAAGGCGAATGTAGGGCCGTGAAACAATTCCAGCAAATGTATGTTCTTCTCCTTGTCGAGCGTGACGGTGGGTACGACGTCTTGCGCGCGGAATGTGGAGTAGCTGCGGTGGATGATGTCCTTCAGGTCGGCGGCCGGGATCTCGGACGGAGAGATGTAGAGGGAGAATATCTCAAAGGCGAGGTCTGCGAAGGACAGGTTCTTCCACTTGGACGCCCAGTCGTCGGGCAGCGTGGGGATTTCCTCGGGGATGAAGAGGCCGCCGTCTGAAGCGAGACCCTTGAGGACAACTTCCTCGAAGGAGAACTATGCCCTGTTAGCAGCCGTCTGAGCGCATCCTCGCCGGGTCGCTCTCACGTCATAGGATCCTCCTCGGGTACTGAGGTACCGCTGCGATGCTGTGTGTGAGGACATTATGTGTAATACCAATCAACGATCTAGCGAAATGGAAAGCAAAAAAGTGTAATTGGTGACGGCTGTCGTGTATGTCCCAAAGGCGATGTGAAGTAATAGTCCCCGTGGGGAAAAATGTTGTGATGACTCCGGGATCGCAGTTGAGTCAAGGGACCGCGTCTCGCCCTGTCAAATTCCGGATCGCCTGCACGCGTCGACTAGGCCGCTGCATGATTAGCATTGGCGTCGCCGTAGTCTGATTGATGATTGTCTACGAACGGAAAAACACTGCGAAGGCTTTCGTGTTTCATTGAATGCAATTGCGTTCGTCCTTCTGCCCCGCCACACGCACGAGTCCAACCCCGCCATGCGCTGTGCCTGCATCAATGGCGATGTCGGCGCCAACGAATGACACGAACGGCGAAGGCTCAACGTATACGATGCGTTCTATTTGTAAGTTGATTGATCGCTATCCCGTTAGAGTCAATCCGGGTGTCGATATTATTCTGTATGGTTTGGTTGCCGTTATAACCTTGAAAGCTTCATTCGTATATTAGATGCATGTAGATTTATGGCATCTCCCATACCAGGCGACGCTGTTCGACAATAGAAGAATCCAGGGCCAGTAATGCGACGGAGGGGCATTCAGGGTTGTATGTTGGTTGTCACCACTACGCCGTTACACCGTGACTCTGGCGCGGACTACATGGCCATCATAAACACCAAATCCGGTAGCTCTACCCTCCTTGATTCCGCCGACGCGCGAACGACCAACTCGACGTTAGCCCAAGCGACTCGGGAAAACAAGCGGAACGCGATGGACCTGGCGCGAACAGCAGCGGGCCCCTTGAGCCAGCGACAACAGCGCAGGAAGCTTTGCTTGACCAGACACACCGGAAACTGTCGATCAAGTACACGCTCACACTATCGAGCCGCGACAGATCATTAAGCCCAACGAGCCTCAGAAAAAGAATAACGCCTCCTAATTCCACGCACCTGCTACTAGTATCCCTAACAAACTACCCTCTTATGCCGCGACAACCTACATACCCCTACTCAGCTCGGCCGAGCGAGAGGACTACAACAGACCCCCAAAGCAAATACGGCGGCTTTTACTGCACTCAGGCAGCTACAGATCTGAAACAAGCTACGACAGCCTACCAAATCCTGCTCGAACCGGTCAAGCGAGAGGACTACGACGAGATCCAGGCGCAAGCACGGCGACTTGTACTGCTCCCAGGTAGCTACAACAGCTTACGAGATGCTTAAAGTTCTCGGGCGAGAGGACTCGGGAGCACTTCAGTGCAAGCAAGATAGCTCATGCTCGACCTAGGCAACTACCACAGCTTACAACACCCTGCTCGAACCGGTCAAGTGAGGGGACTACAACAAGATCCAAACGCAAGAACGGCGACTTATACTGCACCTAGACAGCTACAGCAGAACTGGAACGAGGCGCGGAGCCTAATAAGAACTGTCGAAGCGTGGAGACTACAAGAGGATTTTGGCGCAAGCATGGCGGCTCATATGCAACCCGGGAGGCTACAACAAGGATCTCTTCCCCAGGCCACCAGCAAGCTGGAAGACCCGATGAAAAGCACCTAAGCAGCATTTAAGCCGACAAAGGAGGAGCAGTTGCTTTTTAGCACATGCGCTCCAGGAGTTCATATCAAAGACGATCATGTCAAAAGACAATCACATCAAAGACAATCCCTCTTTACTTCCCGAAGGCGGCTTTTAGTCCGTCACTTCGTTGGAACACTGGCTGTGGGCTGTAGGCCTGTGTCCCCTTGAGCGGTTGGCTTTGTCCCGACTCGTAGTGGCATCGAAGCCGACTGGGGTAAAATCTAAGTGGCGCCTTGCGGTACCAGCTGGGTCAGTAGTAAAGGCGGCTGCAAGCCCTATACACCGCGTTGAGAGCGAAATACGTGCTCAATAGGTGTAAAACAGCCTACATGTTTGCCGCATACATGGACTCATCATATTTTGTACGATGTACTCACGGTAGAGCCTGGGTTACCTCAGTGTACGTTTCGCTTGAAGACCTTGCGCTAAAAATGAGTCGGATACCTCAAACCTCCACTTCATTCCCAGCTACACGATATGTCTTGGAGCAAGACCGCGTTCCATCATTTGCATACCGTATCCTGATAGTGACACACGGCCAGACTGGGTAGCCGTAAGTTCAGAAATGTACTTCCCAGAACAGACGAACCGCTGTCTAAATCTCGAAAAATTGTGTACAGCTTGACGTATACGTTGGTTTAATATTTCTCACTCTCTGCGCTCATGATGGACCCGGTAGCACTTCAATATGTTGCGTAGGCCATGCACGTAAAGTCAAAGTATTGCGAAGTCAGCAGACTCCACTGCTCCGATGAGAGAAAAGTCAACTTAGTGCGCGGTCCATGGAGAGGTCCCGTCCATCTTGGAGTGGGGCTCAGACTGAGATCAGATGGGCTAGATAATTCAGCACGCTGGATATCGGCCAGATCACGATAGCCGTTGAGCTGAATGCGGTGTCGCGACGACATTAGAGCTCCAGCGTAGTTATTGACTACATGAAAGCGAGTCTTTTCTGAGATGCAGACCACGAAACACCCTGGAGGTACACAGTGTGTTTTGTATCAACACTCTATCAGAGTAATGCATGATGTATACGTCTGGGGTACAGTTCTATAGCAGCCAACGCGTAGAGCTAGAAGCAGCTTCTTCGTAATCTCAGAGCCGGTGACGGCGCTCGCAGATGGATCAAGGGAACTGCTGTTCCACATGTCGTCGGCGGAGCAGATGGATGAAGCCTGATACCCAATTCATGGTAACTAGTAATATGGGCACACCGAAGATGCGCTGGTATGAAAGTGCAGCGTGTCTTTGGACATAGAAGATGTCGTGCATACCATACCTAGGTGCCGATGAACAGCAGCCGATGAAGAATTTCGTTCTTCCAGAGTTACACACTCCGAGGCTTGATTTGAAGGTATTCACTGCAACTCATTCAGGAATGTCTCGACAGATTGAAAGTGTTTAGGTACCTTGATGCTGTGTTGCTGCACTCGGCCAGTCGGCAGCTCTCCGGCAATCCGGTGGGGCCGGCAAAACGTCGGCGGCAGATTCTCGGCTGCCTGAGGCACGGACGTGCGAAAACTTCGCTTTCGGTCTGTGCCGCGCTAGCGCGTGCCAAGCCATCGTGTGCTTAAGTACAGCGCCGCAGTCTGCCAGCAACTTGCTTCCCTTTCTACATGAGATCATGAAAGTTTACCCCACCCCCCTACGTTTTCAATCTCTAACAGCAGCGCAGACTTCATAGAATCATTTCTTTTAGTGTGCATCCTTTTCTGAGTTACTCTAAGTAGCCACAGAATCTCCAACCTGGTTGATGACTATCAGCCTCGACATCCAAGAGTGAGGCTTTATGACTGCTTCGGCGGTCATGGCGATGATCTCAGTTGACTGGCAGTGTGCTTCGGCCACTCCGGAAAGCAGGATGTTGATGGCAATCTGACAGGCTTTATTTATTTTCATTGATCCTTTCTGGCTTGCCAGTTAGTCGAGGAAGATATTTCACAACCTCCCGCTACAGTTTGCAATATTGGGATCGAATTGCAGCTTCACCATGACTTGGGACGATTTTGTGAGCTACTCGATGATGGCAGCAATGCATAGGAATCTATCAATCTACTGAATCCGGATCGCGCCTTCCGCTTCTCAACACCACCCGTACTTCTCGTTAGCGACCCAGTCGATCTTGTCAGCAACCGGTCCGTCGTGTTTTGGGAACCACTGCAAGGCCGCGATACTCTCTTGTCCCCTGACGATGAGCTTCGCAGTCGGGTCCAGCTTCTTAGCAGCTGCCAGCGCCGCCGGTGAAGGCGCCCACATCTCCACGTTCTCCATCTTCCATTTCTGCGCCTCCTGCTGGGCCATCGCCATGAGGGCCGCGACAGCAGCTTCGTGACTGTGGCTCTTAGATCCGCCGTTCATGCTACCCGAAGCGCCCTCTCCGCCGTCGTCCTCGATGACCAGCCGTAGGATGTGCAGTGTGTTGCCCTTGGCCTCAGCTGGGTTCTCGTTGTACCACATCCTTGTCCAGTAACACCAAACGCGCTTGCCTTTTTCCGTACCGACGACCGCGCCTTTGATCTCCGGCTTCTTGCCGTGCAGCTCGTTGCCTACGAACTCTTCACGCGCGTGGTGCCATTGGATCGTCTCGATGTTGGGAAGTATTGCGACTGCGGTGTTGCTACCCTTTGGCCGCGACTCCAGACTCCGGCGGAGAAGGGCTTCGTCGATCTTGCATAGTTCCTCCAGGTCCTGTGCGTACAGTGGCTGAGCGGTAGGTAAGTTGCTCGTGTCTTGAGAAGTGCTCGCAGGGATGGAAACATGTGACGAGGTAAAAGATTCCCAGCCGAATTTCGCGTAGTATTCCTGTCTTTGTAAGCAATACATCGTCAGAGAGTTTCAGAGCTACTAACCCTCCCGATGTCAGAGTATAGGATTGAGAACAGAGACTCCTGGCCATCTTCTGTCTGATATGTTCTTAAGCTCTTCCCAAGCTCCGTCAGCATCCTGCTCGCATACGAGGTGCCCTCTTTCTTCCCGCGGAGAGGTTTTGCGCAGAATACGCTGCCGACCCCATGACAAATGACCTCCTTGAGTTCTCCATTCTGCCACACGAGCGCCTTCTTCCGGATTGTTTCGCAGCTCGCTAGTGGTAGTCGGGTGCCTCTTGGCAGTTTGGTGCCTGCATTTGGGTTCCAAGGGTCTTCAGACACAGTTTTGTCAGGGTCAGCTAGGATCCAGTATGAGATGCCGCCATCATGTGTTAGGGTTGTTTGCGAAAGTGTGGCCTCGCGACGAAAGTATGCAGGTTTGGAAAGAGCACCGCGCCATTCGTTTGCGTTTGCGTTGAACTGTATCTGCTTTTCGGCTTCGGTAGGGTGAACGAGTTCTAGGTCAGGAGAGTCACCAGCCTTGAGGTTTTCGAGAATGGATGCGATGGCCATGTTGTAGTATTTTATGTAGGGTAGATGTATGTTGAGTCTTGATCTAATAGGTTGGCCTTTGGCGAAGATAGCTAGGGTCTTATATCCAGCTATCGACTACGCTTGTCGTAGGGCGTGACAGGTGTGGATTCGGTCCTGCTCAGCTGCAGTCTTCCAGATCAAGTGGCAGCAACGATTCAGGAAAGAGTAAATAGCGGGTCCAAGTTACGTCGATTTCGCTGTAGGATGCGGATAGCTAAGGAAGAAGAGGAAGTTGGTACCTGTAGTTCTTTGTCTAGTCAAGGGCGCCCCGCGTTCTGGTGGCCCCATCCCGCCTTGAGCTCCGTGCGATCTTATAGCTGACTCCGTATGTCCTCCAGGCATTCCGAGCCTACCTCATGTTGCTCGCGGCCCGAGGTGTGCCGTGGCAAAGCGAGGGTTGGATGTCACAGCTTCCCACGGGTCATGTGCGCCTGTCCGATTCGCGAGTAGCTCGGGCCTTGCATGAGGCCAGGCAGTAAGACAGGAGTTTGCGTGTCATGGCCTCAAAAGCTTCGCGCGTCCATTGGCAGCATCACCAAGACCGATCGCAGACATTGCTTCTTCTCAGCCCTGTGCGACGCGCGCGCAGGCTCGTGATGATGCGGTTAGCGGCAGTTGGGCTAGCGGAGCCCTGGGGCCGGCCTGGAGCGAACTGCACGATCATCTGGGCGAGACGCCCATCTCCCGCCCTGAGAGCGGCGCAGCATCCTTTCACGACGACACGCCATTTCTGTTTCGCTGAGCGCTGGCGGCACTGTAATGGCTTTTCATTGACATGCGCTGTTGTGGCACATAGCTACTGCCTTTGCTCTCTTACCTGGCTGGTGCCCTTGCCCGTTCCGCTGGCTCAGGGCTGGCCGCAATAGCTCCTCGATCTCCCAGCGGCCTGCACCCGCAACACTCAGGTCTCACTTCGCTGCGCTGCAGTGTGAAACCTGTCACTCTCATACTTTCGCTTGTTCCTTTTTCTTCCCTTCAGCTAGTGCCTATCAGTCGGTGAGAGGCCTCCTCCGAAAACTGGTGGGGTGAGCGACAAGGCTACGTCCGTGTGAATTGAGCTGGTCTGAATCACGTAAACACCACACGCGTTTGCAGTTCCATCGCCCCTCACTCCTTCCCCAGGTTCTCCGCTAGGTACAAATTAATGTTTATTATTTGGTTCTCCCCATTCAAGGTACCCAAGAAACTCTACATCGCTCGGTCTAGACGCACACCCGATAGCAACCCTTCAAGGTGGAGGTTTACCCGTCAACTAGCCTTACGACTACAACAACAGGACACTTGCGATGGCTCCAACTGGCATCTATCGCGATCATGAAGTGATTGATCTGCTCTCCGATAGTGAGACGGAGGACGAGGATCTCGCAAGACACGAATTGGAGGCCTTCGACGCACGATCTGCAGCAGAATTCGCTCTCGACTTCCCGGATCTGGATGATCCTATCGCAGAGTTCCGCGCAGAATTCCAGGCAAATGACCGTCAAGTGATCGATTTGACCGACATTCCAGACATTGACGTTCCGCCGTCTGACGCTGTCGTGGCAGAAGACGACAGACCACCACCAGAGGGACGAGCTTCCGATTGGGGTGAGAACATCGCATTGGTCACCGAAGCTGCCTGTTTGCAGATGGTTTTGAGCGTGCTGCCGGACATCTCGGTCGATTACGTCCTCAGATTGATCCAAGAAAAATTGACAGACACCACACGAACAACCGCACAATGCGAGCATTTCCTCACGGAGTTATTGGAAGGCGAGCCATATCCAAAAGAATCAGACGACGCGAAGAATAAGAAGAGAAAGAGGGATGACCAAGCCGAGGGTGAGTTGAGCACCTACGAGAAGGGCGAGCGTGATCCCGAGATCGGCGGTTATGAACATGACGCGTAAGTACAACCCCTTCATGGACGCAGCCCTATGAACTTTATGGTTCAGTGATGTCTTAAAGTATCAAGAGTCGGGGTTGATTGGCAGCGATCATTCCAGGTGGATCGTGAAGCGAGGGTTTTATTACACCTGGAACCATGGAACGACTGTCGTGGACATTGCGCTTCGCCTTTGGGCCAGCGCAGTAACAGCAACACCAACAACAATTCTGTAGTCATCCGCTACGTTTTTTTACGCACCTTCAACGCCTTCGCGTTGTCTTTATACCTTCCCACTCCTTTCATTCGTGGTACTAACGATACTTTCCACAGAACAGAGCTACTCAAAGACGAATTTCTCACCGTACCCGTACGGCATATCACGACCGTTCTCAAACAGCAGAAGACTCTTTACAAGGCCTACGGAGTCATTGAACAACAAGTGCGCAACTACGGACAAATTGCCAGGACATATTCGAAGATAAACAAATCACGCATCAAGCGCGGTATTGAACTCCAGTTGATTGAGCAAGGCAGTCAGATACCCAAAGAGTTGCACGCAGCGAAGAAGAAGAGCGAAGCTGAAGCTGGTAAGTGTGATGTCGTGACCATGACCTTCCAGGAGATCAATAGAGGACTTCGAACCCTGTGTCTCAGAACAGCGAAGATCTTATGGTCTCCTTCATCTGCTTCCCACTGACAGGTTACAGCCAAACGCCAAAAGCTCAAAGACGAGGAAAAGGCGGAAGAAGACAACTTAAAACGAGCGCAAATGAACAATGAAATGGGTGAATGCGCATGTTGCTTCAACGACGTTCCTCTAAACCGCATGATAAGTTGCAACGGAGACACTACCCACTTCTACTGCGTAGACTGTCCCCGTCAACAGATCGAGACGCAGATGGGTCAATCTCGATGCAGACCCAAGTGTTTCGGAGTCGACGACTGCAATGGAACGTTCACCCGGCGACAGTTGCAACAGGTTCTGAGCGACAAGACATTCGAGCGACTCGAGCACATGCAACAAAGAGAGGACTTGGAAGCGGCAGGTCTGGACTTCCTCTCGGAGTGCCCGTTCTGCGACTTCAAAATGGAATGTCTACCGGTTGAGGTTGACAAGGAGTTCCGCTGTCAAAACCCCAAATGCAGCAAGACGAGTTGTCGCCTTTGCGAAAAGGAGTCTCACATCCCACTCAGCTGCGAGGAATTTAAGAAGGATGGCCAAATTACCCTGCGACACATTGTCGAAGAAGCGATGTCGGCAGCCTTGATACGACACTGCAACAAATGCAAACATCCTTTCGTCAAGGAACTTGGTTGCAACAAGATGACATGCACGCACTGTAGGAATGTGCAATGGTAAGTCACCAGCCTAAGTGATTCCGATATCAGCTGACAAAAGCTTAGCTACGTCTGCTCCAAGAACGTGACAGACTACAACCATTTCGGCGAGTCTCGTGCAGGCAAATGCCCTCTACACGAAAACGTCGAAGACCGCCACGAACAGGAGGTCAAGCGCGCAGCCGATGAGGCCATGGCCAAAGTCCGAGTCGATAATCCAGGCCTTTCAGATGCAGATTTGATGGTCAAGGTCTCCGATCGAGTCAAGCAAGCAGAAGATGCACGAAAAGGTCGAGCAGGCATAGAAGCGCAAGCCTTCCCTTACCACATGGTTGGAGAGCAGCTCAGGCGAGCTCCCATGGTGCCCCCAGTACCTGCGCCGCCGGCTCACCTCAATGGAATAGCAGCAAATGTCGCCCCAGCAGATCGGTACGTCCACCCTCATCCAGTCATCCCAGCCATGCCGGCCATGCCAGCTATGCCAGCCTTTCCAGCCATTCCAGCTATGCCAGCTATGCCAGCCATGCCTACCATGCCTGCGTTTGGATACCCCGTCCAACCATTCCCATTCTTCCAACATCTCTATCCTGCTCAGCCCGTTCAGCCTATGGGTTTCTACGGAGCCATTCCACAGCAGCCATATCAGCCATACATTCAACGTCCGATCCCAATGATCGCGCCATGTCCAAGGTGTCACTTTTTTCATCCGCCTAACCAGTATTGCTAGACCTCGGTTGTTCGATGCCCTCTGGGCCATGCTCCCACCCAACCCCCTCCCGCAACTCGGCATCGGGAGGGGACAAGTCAACGGACCAGGACAACCAGCCCGCCTTCCCGAAGCCAATAGAGTTGATGATCGAATTAATGAACGGGTTCGCCAACGCAATGCCCGACCGGAATTGGGCGGCCCTCATCGAATTGCCAACGGCGAACAGGCGCAGCGCGATGCTCGCGAGGCTTTCCGCTTCCTGGACAACGTTGGACTTGGCCAGGATCAGCAGCAGATAGCCGTGCGTCAGAATTTGAGAGCTAGACAGCAGGAGCTTGCAGCAGAGCGCGCGCGGTTGGCTGCAGCGCGACAAACCCTTGATGACGACGCGAGAGCCATGCGTCATAACGTGGCAGCTAGGCGAGATGGAATTGCAGCAGAACGCGCGCGGTTGGGTGTGGGGCAACAAAATCTTGATGCTTTGCTTGAGGCTCGGCGGGTAGCGGCAGCTGCGATGGTAGCTGATAGGCGGAGGCGTCGTGGTATGGCGCCCCAGGCTCCTCACAGATAGCGTCTTTTCGTTCGATGGGATTCATACTATAGCATGGCATGGAGGTGGTATGGTGATTCAAGTATCTGCCTCTATCGACGTTGAGGCGGGACCATAAAACACCACTTACTCGCGATAGAAGTCCTGAAGAATGTCTATGTAGTAGGCAGGCTTATCTTTAATATAGAGAATTTCTCGAAATCTGTCTTCAATACATCTAGCTTTCGCTAGACTACAGGAGCCTGGGTCAGAGACAAATAACCTTCCTACTCCACAGAACATTGTATTCACATATTTGATTTGTTCAAACGTCTACGATCAAAAACTCGAGAAGCTCGATGGGAAGCTGTCTTCTGGGCTCTCAAATTTGGCCCTGCCTTCTTCTATCCAGTTCTCAAACCTGAAAACACCCGCCTGCACACTGCGTATGGGCGTGACCTTAGCTCCGCCGAGATCTCTCCCTTCCTTCTCTCTCACTATGCCCAACTCGAATGCTTCCTCATCGAATACACCCCTATCTCTAAATAGCGCGCCCCTCCCCGTCTTCTGCAAACTAGGCTGAACCGGCTGCCAGACCTGCGGGTGTCCAATCGGCGGATCGATATCGCCCTCATCCTTGAGTTCCATACTAACATTAAAAGTGCAACCTTCAGGCAGAGGCTCCAGCCTAGACGTCCGCATCTCCAGCTGCAGGAACGCCGCGCGAAACTGCTCGCTGAGATTAACATCCACACCCGTATCCAACGGCTTCGTCTTCTTCTTCTTTACAGTCCCATCATTATTATATTCTATTTCCTTCTCCTCTTCCTTTTGCTTCCCCTTCCCCTTCGTCTCCAGCAAAGGCCCTCCCTCAAACTCAATATTCAACATACGATCCCGCCGTTCCACAACAGGGAACTCGCTCACGTCGAACATGTAGCGTTCCATTATCTTGGCGCTGCCTGAGCCCTCATCGTACTCATCGTAGGTGAATATGACGATGCCGATTCTGGAGACGACGCCCTTGAGGAGCTCTTCGCGCACGGCGGCTATGGCGTCGGTGATCCATTCGCAGACCATGGGGTGCCGCGATTGGTAGACGACGGCGTTGTGGAAGCGGGCGCGGGCGAAGGAGGTGGTGGGGTAGATTTCGCGGTGGTGGAGGAGCGTGTGCGTGTAGGCGGTTAGGAAGGTGGTGAAGTGGTTGAGGGTTTCGAGGTAGGTTGCTGGCATCGTCGCGGTGGGTGTGTGACGTGTGGTAGTAGGAGTGTGATTGTTCTATTCGTGGACGGAGTATGTATGTGCCTCAGGTACGAGATAGTGTTGTGCACTTTGAGTAGCGGATCGCAGTCATGACGCAGACGCGTCTCGTCGCGTGAAGGCCACTAGCGTGTCGATGGATAACGGTCACGGCTCTGGTAGGGCTGCTGATCGGTATGGCAGACGTGGTGCGTATGCTGTGTCGAGTGCCCCTGGCATTGTTGAGGATAACAACGTGGCAGCAAGGGGAGGGTCGGAGAGAGGCGAAGGTGTAGGTAATGGTCGCGTTTCCACCGACCGGGAACTGGGAAGAGGCATCGTCGTCACCGCCTGTCGGGCAATTGGCCACCTCGCCCTTCGCTATAGCCCAGCTGCCATACTCCACCTTACTTCTGTATTAGTCTCTGCCCTCTATCCCATCTGCTACGTATATGCAGTCGTCGCGGCTTATTGCTTCAGTTATAGCCTCCGCTTAGCCACCCCACCACCCAGAGATTCACGGAGCTGCCCCGCATCTCCGAGCGCGTTCTTTTTCCTCGCGCTCAATCACCCAGCAGCACCCATCAACAAACGCGTCAACGCCCGATCCTTCTACCTCGCCAGCCGTTTTGGGGAGCGCTAGACGTGCCGACTAGCTCTATACGCGCATGCCCCACGTTGACCATGGAGGACCAACTAGTCCAGCTGCTATCAGCAACCCAAACCGCCCAGGAGGACACGCGCAAACACGCTGAGCAGCAGCTGCTCTCCCTCTACGGCCACCAGGAGCTCCCCCTCGGCCTCATTGGCATCGCCTGCCATGACAGCGTCCCGCTCAACATCCGCCAGGCCGCCGTCCTGTACCTGAAGAACATTGTGTTGGCGGGATGGAGTTCCAGCCTCGACGAGTGGAAGGGGCAGGCGCTCGTCTCAGAAGAGAATAAGGCTGTATTACGGCAGCAGCTGCTCAACCTCGCCACCCAGGACGGGCTCGACCGCAAGCTCAAGGCCGCCGCGGGCCTCGTCGTGAGCAAGATCGCAAGCGCCGACTACCCCATCGAATGGCCAGATCTCCTCGACAACCTCCTCGCACTGATACCGAACGCGACCGAAGGCCAGCTACATGGCGCTCTCAGGGTCCTTGGCGAGCTGGTGGAGGACTGCTTCAACGAGACGACCTTCTTCCAGGTCGCGCCCCAGATGATCAAGGTCCTGTTCAATGTGGCCACCAGCGAGCAAACAAAGCCGACGCTGAGGGCCTTGGCTGTGAAAGTCTTCCATGGCTGCTTCGATATTCTCGAGATGGTGCTGGAGGACCACAAGACTATGGTCAAGAGCTTCGCGGATGAGATACTCAAGGAGTGGATTCCCTTCTTCGTCAATGTCCTCAACAACAGGCTACCTGATCCGCCGTCAATCGATGAGGAGGACTCGGATGCGCCCAACGCTCTGCTCTACAAGGGACAGATCGCGCTCAAGCTACAGTCAGTCAAGGTAGGTCGTGTCAAAAGCTGAACATCCTGGAGGCTACATCGACGTTGGGTCACCCACTTTGCGTGTTCTCTTGATGTAGTCTCCAGGCCTGTTCAGTTTCTCCCGTTTGAGGTGTTTCCGATACTAACAGCTCGCAGGTCCTCATGCGCATACGGTCCGTCTTCCCCGCTATCCTCTCGCCGCAAAGCATCGTCCTGTTCCAGGCAACCTGGCAGGAGCTATCGCTGCTAGAACCCGCATACTCCCTCATGTACATAAAAGAGGATCGTCAGAGCAGGCTCGAAGATGCCGATGGTCTGCCGTACACGTTGGACTTCCTTATTCTAGAGGAGCTGGACTTCATGCAGGCGTGTCTTCGTGCACCCCCGGTCCGCGCGCAACTCGAACAGGAACTCCAAAACCAGACACCCGACAACTCATGGGTCACCCAGGTTATGAAGCTGGCCGTGGCCTACGCGCAAATCACTACAGAAGAAGAGGGCCTGTGGGATGTGGATGTGAACATTTTCTTGAGCGAGGAGACAAGCGTAACCGCAAATTACACGCCCCGCACAGCCTGTGGTGACCTCGTCATCAAGCTTGGCGAGTGGCTGCAAGAGCCTACTGTCAACGGCTTGTTGACCTACACAAGAGCGCTCTACTCGGAGTCAGAGAGCTGGAAAGCTAAAGAAGCTGCGCTTTACGTGCTGAACCAATTGTTGAGCGATTTCCAGGACGTGGACAAGCAGATCAGTCCAGATGCTGCAAGCGGCTATGTGGACTTCATCCGGTATGCCATGCAGCAGCCCGACGCCTTCCTAAGAGCACGCGGTTACCTTGTCGCTGGAAGTTTGACAAGGACATCCGGAGACGCTCTGCAACAGCTCGGCACATCCTTCCTCGAGGCATCGCTCCAGGCTATTCCATCTGACGAGTCCGACGTTGTCCAAGTGTCGTGTATCCGGGCTCTGCAATACTATCTCCAAGCGCTCCCACCTGCGACTACACAGCCCATGCAAGCTCCTATCATCATGGCCATCAGCAATTACCTGGCTGCACAAGATATGTCAGAGCTCAGCGACAGTGAAGATCTTATGGTCACTCTCGTCGAAACACTCCGAGACGCCATACTTATCGATACGCGGATATGCATCACAGACAACGGTCTCGACACACTCTTCCGAATCGCTAGTCATCAAGCTAACAATTTCCAACTCACCATGCTAGTCACCGAGGCATTCGAAGAGGTGACGGAGACTATCGCGCGAATGGGTGGGGATGCATACGTTCAACTGTGCGCAAGGGTGCTTCCATCACTTATGGGTGCCTTTGATGTCGGAAGCTTGACCGAGGAGAATGCTTTATGCAACTTTGCTGCTGATCTTCTGGCTGTCATGGCTGAGCATGGACCAGAGCCGCTACCCGCTGGCTTTGTCGCTACAACCATGCCAAAGCTCACAAGAGTCCTGCTAGGCTCTGCCGATGAGGAGCTGCTGAAGTCTGCTACGACTGCCGTAAAGAACATCATCTCGCATGACCACCAACAGCTCTTCGAATGGCGCGATGACACTGGAAAAGCAGGTCTTGAGGTAACTCTCATCATCGTCTCACGTCTGTTGTCTTCATGCAGCGACCATGCTGCTGGCGAAGTCGGTGCGCTTGCCGCAGAGGTAGTAGAGAAGGCCGGCCACGAACGACTTGGACCTTACCTAGAGCAACTCCTACGAAGTGTCGCTGTCCGCCTAGGCCAAGCAACACAAGCACAGTTCATCCAAAG